TATCTAGCGCCGCAAGCGCAACAACGCAAGAACTTGTAGCAGTAGCGTGCGCGAAGAAGGGGTCGACCGTGATTCCTAGATACCGGTGAACATCTCTGAACTTCATGTTTTTTTGCTCAAGGAGAGGGAACAAGCGCTTCAGCTGCCTTGTGTACATGCCCTTGGCGACGTGGGCCAAGTGGAGTGCGGTGTTCTTGTTGGTTTGGGCCAGGTTGACGTTGCCGTGTTGTTCGAGTCTTACCTTTCCAATGTCTCGTTCTAAGGACCTTGACAGGTGACAAGTCCAGTCTAGTTGTCGGGACAGGCTAGGCGTTGAGAAAGCAATCGACATGCCGAATGCCGGACCACACGCTCTTGTGGTTTGATTGCCGGCCAACAAGAGCTATCCATTAAGCCGGGGATAGGGGATAGGGCCACTCGAACGTGTGTTCACGGAGGACAGCACACGAGAGCTCAATTTTGCTTGATGGCACAAAAACCGCACAACCTGGCGGTTGATGTTGCTGCAGCTAAGCGTGGTTATGCCCGTACAACCATCGCTACTCCGTCATCTCCGTGCCCACGACTCTGCTCTCGGTAGACTCTTTGGGACACCCGCCCACATACGAAAAGAGCATTCGGTCGGAAATCTAAGGTGTGAGAACTTGGGGATCCAGGTCAAGATGCGCCAACGGTAGTTGGAAACGACGCCGGCCTGCCTCCGTCCGCCCTCTGGCCATCCCAAACCAAATCGTTCAAAATCCTGATGCTGCCCGTACACTCAACGTGAGATACACAGCAGGCAATCGACGACCCGCGAGCATCAACGTCGCCATGAAAATCAAGTGGACAACAACAGTAGTGCTGCAAAACCTATCCGGATGAAACGTTCGCCGAGTCAATCTACCTGCCGCCCCCTTTGCGGGAGAAGATGGCTGGGAGTCGGCCCAGCGGCAGCAGCAGGAGCAGCCGCAGCAGCAGCGTCAGATCCAAAAGCTTGAAAGCACCCGACACCACAGACAATCAAAGGAGCGGTTACGCGACACGGTAGTCAAAAGAGCAAGCATCTGTGCGCACAGCTCACAAGCTACTGCTCTAGACACCTGCTCCGCCGCGGTTGAGTAGGAGCGAAAGGCGAGTCGCAGTAAGTGCGACTCCTCAGGCTTCTCAGGCCCCTGCTGCTGGCGCTGCTGCGCCGTCGGGGGCTGTTCCTGGCTGGCGCGTGCCGTTTCCACCGTGGCCAGGTTGGACTTCGTAGGCTCCACCGCCCCTGCTGCTGGCGCTGCTGTACCGCCGCGAGCTGTCCCGGGAGAGTTCGCGCCGTTTCCGCCGTCGCCGGATTGGAGTTTTTGGGATCCACCACCCCCCTGCTGCTGGTGCAACCTGAACTTGCGTCCGTAGCGTCGTGTGGCAGCCAGCCTGGCTACAACTCCCTCCACCCCCCGCTTGACTTCTGGGGATGATTTCCAGGGGGTCCTTGCTGTGGGATCGTTTAGCTGTTCCCCGAGACGAAACATCTGCTGTTGCATAACAGGCGGGCTCGCTACGCGCCTCCTCTTTTAGGAATCCGGGTACCCGCCGTCCGCACTCCTCCCATGCCTCGCCAACCTTCGATATGTGGCGCGCCGAATTCCAAGGTTCCACTTCAAGCTCGGAGAGACGCGATATGAGAGGCGACATATGTTGAAGCGGTTGGCCGATGTCAAGAGGCCGAAACGTTTCTATACCCGTATACCCGATCACTAATTCGACGCCTGTATTGCTCGTCAATCGGTGCTCATTTGATGCTGTTTTGGTCACTGAGTAGGGTCATGTTGTTTTAAGGTCGACGTTCTAGTTTGGAGGGGCACTACGCACGATCGGAGAAACAGGTAATTGGCCGATATTTAGAGCTTGCATTTCCTCCTGGAACGACGAGGGAAGATGTGGTCGGGGCTGCGCCCCTCCCTAGCTCAGCATATACAATATACAAAGGCGTGGACGCTTGGAGGCCAACTCGATGTTCCTCCGTTTTATAATATGTTTGGAGGTAGACACTCACGCCGGGGACCGAACCCCAAGGAGTTTGTGGTTGTTGGGGATGAAATGTACGTGTGTTTGTTGTTCTCTGGCGGGGGGGGGGGGGG